ATAAAGTAATAAACATGAAAAGTCCTGTTGACATGCCCAGTCTTCAAATACTTTCTTTCCTTGAACATAACTTATCATTATTTTCTATGGTTACTTTCCATACATGTTTTATGTTTATATAACCAAATGTGCATGGAAATACATGCACATACCCTTCTTTTCACACAACTGATAGTGTAGTATGTACACTACTGCATGGCTTGGTGTTTCTACTTAATGATATTTCTTGGAAATGATTTCATTTCATTATGTAAAAACATTTTAAATATTTTAAAGCTAAATAGTTTTATTGCATTGATTCACCATAAAAGTCTGTTTTTATAAAAATTCATAAACACAATATGTTCTCAGGATTTTAAATTCTTGTCAATATTTAAGGAGAAAAAATGTAATCAGTGTAATTTTCATTTATATTTATTTTATTATCATTAAAATAATCATTTTTCCTTCTTTAATATTTCTTTGCATTCCCATTCCTGAGAAATCTCATTACATCTTGTGCTCATTTATTATTAGTATTGATTTTCTATGGTTACTATATAAGAATTCTTTATATATTGTGAAAAATGGCTTTTTTTCTGTGAAATATGTGGTGTGTGTTATTTGTAGAGCTTCATGCTATGTAGCTGAATTTATCAATATTTTATTATAATGTTAAAATATGGTTTTATTCTTGTATACAGATCTTTGGTGAATGTGAAATATGTTCTAATGTAAAATGAACTTTATTCCTATTATTTTTATACATTTGATTACCAGGTTTTTCTCATACTTATTTTTCCACTGATTTGAAAGGTCATTTTTAACCAATCTAAATTATGAATGTGTTTTTGTTATATTGTCAATTTCATTATGTTATGTATGTCTGTTATTGTTTGCTTAATGTCACCTAGAGATCATTATTAGGTTCTTTCAGCAGAATCCAAACAAAAGTCTGATTACTAATGGGAAGGGCCAGAGATACCTGAGGGTGTTACATGTATAGGAATATTTTTGACATGAGAAAAGGGAAGTCTCTCTTCCATTTTTGGAAGGGAGGATTCATGCAAAGGCATCTCGGATAAGAAACTAGAAGAGGACAGAGGAGATGGCGTGGGATATGCTTTCCCACTTAGGTTATAAGATAGTTTTAATCTTCTGTGAAAAAGGACTGAGAAAAAGTGAAATGAATTCTATGTTGAAAAAGGCTGAAACTAGGAGCACAAATATTGTTACCCTGAGGTTTTTATGATATATTGCAAAACAGAGTCAACAATAGGGCCATTCTGATTTAACTCTGCACCCAAATCCTACCCTATCAGGAAACAATGAGCCATGCATACACTCCTAATAGATTCATCAGATTGTTCTCCCATGGCTTGTTCCAACAGGCTATACTGATTCTGAGTGCGATGGTGAGATTTTCCCATTGAAAAGCTAGGATAAAAAAAAGGAATAGATTCAATTCTAAGAATTGGTGGCAGGAGAAATGGAGACACCTGTACTTAAATATCAATAATAATAATAATAGAAAAATTGTTTTTTTTCTCCACTGTTGCAACCCCCTCCATAAGTCTCTGAAAAAGAAACACAAGACTTTATAATGGGTGGTTGGAATGGGTTTAAGACACAGGTGAAGTGATGTCCTTATGAGAATTTTAAAGCTAGAAGGTATAAATTGAGCATCCATGTTACTAATATTATCAGCATGTAAAGATTTTGCAGACCATAAAATTAGATTTTAAATATACTACCATATGTTGAAGAAGAAATATTGTCATACTACACAAGCTATTGGTCTTTATTCAAGTGCTATCTTTCTTCAATAAATGAAATAAAAAGGAAAAGAAGGGCTAGCTTAACTTAAGAGAGACTTCAACAATTATAACTAAAACTAATGTATAGACTTTATTTTGAATCTTACTTTGAATACTGAAAGGGAACATGATTGAGATAATCTGAGATATTTTAATATGAACTAGGTATTTGATGTTGGTCATCAGAGTTTTGTAGTTTTCCTCAGATAGACCTTATACATATTTTATTAGATTTATACTTAAATATTTCATTTTAAGAGTTGTAATATAAATGTTATTGTGTTTGTAATTTCAAATTTCAATTGTTCATATCAGGCTTATAGGAAAGTTATTGACTTATATGTGTTGATTTTTATCCTCCAGTTGTTCTCACCACTTATTAGTTCTAGCATATTTTTGTGAATTCTTTCAAGTTTTTCAAATAGAAAATCAGGTCATGTGCAAACAAAAACAGGTTTTTTTTTTCTTTCCCAATCTATGTACATTTTATTTGATTTCCTTGTCTTATTGCATTAGCTACAACTTCAGTGTAATGTTGAAGGTGTTGTGAGAAGGGATATTTTTGCTTGTTCCTAATCTTAGAGGGAAGACTTCAAGTTTCTCACAATAAATTATGATGTTAGATGTAGGTTTTCTTGTGATTTTTTAAAAATAAATTTGAAGGAGTTATCCTGTATTCTTAGTTTACTGAGAGTTTTATCATGGATAGTTCTGTAATTTTGTCAAATAATTTTTCTGCATATTCTGATATGATCATGTAATTTTCTTGATTTGCCTGTTGGTGTGATGGATTATATTAATTTATATTAAAATGTTGAACCAGCCTTGATATCTGAGATGAATGCCACTTGATTTGGTAATATTTTGTTGAAGATTTTTACATTTATATTTATAAAAGATATTGGTATCTATGTTCTTGTAATATCTTTTTTTAAATTTTGATAATAGAGTAATATTAGCTTTATAGAATAAATTTAAAAGGATCTTCTCTGTTTCTATCCTGTGGAAGAAATTGTAAAGACTTGGTATAATATCTTATTAAATGTTTTTAATAAGATAAATTCATCTTATCATCTTATTCATCTTGATAAATTCATCATTGAATCCTTTTGGGTCTAATGCTTTTGTTATGGAAGGTTATTAATTATTAATTTGATTTCTTTGATACATAAGAGCCTATCAAAATTGTGTATTTCATCTTGTGTGTACTTTGACAGGTGATGTCCTTCAAGGAACTGGTTTATTTAATTCAGGTTATCAAATTTCTGAGCATTGAGTTTTTCATAGTATTTCTTTTTTATCCTTTGATGTTCATTTGATATATAGTGATGTCTACTTCATTGTGGATATCAATAATTTGTGTCTTCTCTCTTTTTTTTGTAATCTGGCTAAAGGACTATCAATTTTATCAAACTTTTCAGGAAAGTAGCTTCTGGTTTAGATGATTTTTCTCTATTGATTTTCTGCTTTCAATTTCATTGATTTCTGCTCTAATTCAAATTATTAGTATTTTTCTGCTGACATAAGATTCAGTTTGCTTAATAGTTTCTTGAGGAAGAAACATGGATTATTGTGTTCACATCTTTTATTTTACATTGTATGTACTCAATGCTAAAAACTTTCCTGTAATTACTGCTTCCACTGTACCCCAAAATTTTGATAATTTATTTTAATTTTTATTAAGTTCAAAATATTTTTCAATTTCTATTGAAATTTCTTGTTTTGCCTATGCATTACTTAAAGGTGTGGTGTTTAATCTTTATTGTATTTTTGAATTTTCCAGTTATTTTTCTGTTATTGATTTCTAGTTTAATTCCATGGTAGTCTGAGAGTGGACATTTTATGAATTTCACTATTTTAAATTGTCAAGATGTGTTTTATGGATCAGAATGTGATGTGATCTATCTTAGTGAATGCTCCTTGTGAGTTTGAGAACAATATGAATTCTGCTGTTGTTGGATGAAGTAGTCTATCGATATCAGTAATATCTAGTTCATTAACTGTGTTGTTGTGTTTCACTATTTCCTTACTAATTTTTGCCATCAGTTCATTTCTGAGAGAGGGGTGTTGAAATCTCAAAGTACATTAATGAATTAATCTATTTCTCTGTGCAATTCTATCTGTTTTGGTCTCACATATTTTGATACTCTCTTCTTAGATTCATAGATATTAAGGATTGTGTGTTTTGTTAGAAAATTGACTCTTATCATTGTATAATGAATTTCAATATTTCTGACAACTTCTTATAGTTTGAAATTTACTTTGTCTGAAACTAATATGACTACTCCTAACTTCTTTTGATTAGTTACCATAGTATATATTTTTCCATCCATTTAATTTTAATATGTATTTTCTTCCTATTTAAAGTGAGATTCTTATAGATAACTTATAGTTGTGTCTTGTTCACTCTGACAATCTATGCTTAATTGGCATCTTTAGACTTTGATATTCAAAGTGATGATTGATATAGTTAGATTAATATTGAAAATGTGTTGCTTTTTTCTGTTCCCCTCAATCTTAATTCCTATTTTGTCTTCCATTCTTTTAATTTTTCTGGTTTTAATTGAACATTTTTTACAGTTTTCTGTCCTTTCTAATCAGGCATACTTATTTTTTAAACTTTTTTAGTGGTGTTCCTAGAATAAATGGGGTATTTGTGAATCCATAGATTTGTTGTTGTGGTGTGTCATAAGCAGAAAGTTTAGTAATAAATGCCTTTTATTATTTAAAAATGCAAATTGAAGTGTATAGAAGTGCAATTATTGAGTTATAAGATTTCTTTGAAATTTTTATATGACAATACATGTAGAAAGAATGATTTTTCAACATTTGATATTTTGGGGATTTAATTATTCCTTTTTATCCAATCCAGTGCATTTTACTAATTAAAAAATATCAAATTCAAAAGTACTCTATAGATTGTCATAAATCTACATATTTTTCTCTATCATTAATATAATTGATAATTTAACTTTCATGGGCAAGAAAATCTTTAGGTACAGATTGGTCTAGAAATGCACCAATACAACTGAATGATTGCACTGGTTTGAGGAGACTCACTGGTCTTGGCCCATCTGCTTTGGCTGCCCAGTACCTTTACCTTAGCCTATTATGTTCACTGTCACTGCCTGAGGTTTGAGCTACACAACTGAGGACTATGTTTGAGTGATCGTTTTTAAGCTGATATGATTTTTTTTTAATTTCACCACTAAGACTGCATTCTCTCCTCTTTCAAAAGAAGAGAAGAACGATTGTCAATGGCTCTTGGCAGTCGCAAAAGCAACACCAAAAGCTGGCTTCAAGCACAGGAGAGAACACTGCGCCTCCTCTTTGTGGTTTCGGGTGCTCTACACGTTCAGAGAAACTTCTCTAGTAATGAGCTATAGCAACAATCCCTGAAAGTAGTTTTTAAAAATTGTTTTAAGCTGCCGTTTTTAGTTTGAGAATAAAGCCAGTTTTTTTTTCTTTTTGATGTTGCTTTAGATGAATGACAGGAAATGTTTAAAGCCAAATCAAAACTTCCAAGAAATTAGCAAAGAAGTTGGAATTGCTTGTGCTTTCTATAATCACCATTTTAGGTGTATTTGATTTTCATTTCTTTGAAGAAGCAGGAAATGAATTGAACAAAGATTTATACCATTTAGTGTCACAGTTGATTACCAACAGAAATTGGAAGAATGCAATTTTTATGGCTTTAAGTAAAAGTAAGTTATCATTCAGGATGAAATGGATATTGGTTAGACAGAGGGATTTAATTTTTAAGAAGATGTGTTATAGTGCAGGAGACATTTATATACATTAAGAAAGCCAGACCTCTAAATTGTTTGCTTTAAAATATTCATCTGACTTGGTACTTGTCACATGTATTTCTTAAATATCACTTTACTAAGTAACCTCCTTTATAATATTTCAAAATTTTATATTTTATTACTAGTACACCCAAATTCTTTAAAAATTGCATAAAATGCTGAAATTCTACTCATATAATTAATTTACCAAATTACTAATTTATCTGACATTCGTTTTTTCATATGTTATAATATCCGATGTGATCTCTATTAAATATTTAGTAACTACCTAAAATTATACCCATTTATTAATGTTGGATATATGTAGGCATATTTCTTTTTTTCTCACAGAAAGTTAGCCTTACTAAAATAATTAATCTCATTGTGTTAAATAGTAAGAACCTGGTTGTGAGAGACACAATCAAGGAATAAAAGTAATCATTAAAATAAATATACTCTCTCTCTTTTTCTCCCCTACCACCACCAAGCCATAGGTAATTTTCATAAATGTATTTATCCACATATTTATAAATATTTTGAGTGCCAACTCTGCCTTAGGCACATTGCTAAGTGCTACAGATAAATTCAGTTTACAAGATCTTCACTGTCTTCAGTTTATAGGTTACCAGAAAGGGCAGTTAGTGAATTATTTGACATTCTTTAAACCTATTATTCAATTCTATGTTTCTATACATTTGGACATGTTGATCCTTCTGCTTCATATATTATTCCATAGTTAGGCCACCCATCGAACTGTTCTTTTAGGCTTCAAGTCAAATGGTATGGTGATTAGAGGACTAGCTTTCTTTTTCTCAAACTGCCTGTGAATTTTGCTAATTCAGTAATACTGTTAACTATTCATAGAAATGACACCTCCTAGCAAGCACATGCCACCTCTCTGAGAAGGTTTAAAATACAATGTTAGTTGAATTTGCATAACAGACGTATCATCTGACTGCACTTAGTCACAATAAAAACAAATCATTGTAATATACTAATAAATCATTCATATTCTTAAATCAGCATTTATTTATTTGATTGGAAAATTAGGAACTGTAAAATTAAAACACTCATTTTCAAATATGGCGATACACTTATAAAGAATTATCTAAATGGAGATCTATTTTTCTCAGGTATCGGATAGTTTCTGATATAAAAAAGACCAGAGTTGATATAGATACTTCTGATACAATCAGTTTCCAAGGGTGGTTTTATCTTTCTTTTCCAGTATTCTTACTCTGATACTTTCTGTCTTATGCTTGAAATATAGTTGCTATCTCTATTCTCCTAAAAGTCAAGGACAAAAGATGACCAGCCAAGTTTGACCATTTTTTTAGGGTATCATTAGCTCTTTAGAAGTGCCACCCAGTAGACTGATGCTTATATAAATTGGTCAGATATGGATCAGTTATAAAAAACTTAACTTCATGGGAATCTGGAAGATTGAATAATTTTTACATGGTACATTATCACTCTGAAAAATATGAGAGCTCAATTAGAAAGAAAAAATGACAATGGATATGTAACAGGTACTTTGAAGTATCTATCATCAATAGTCTTGCAAAATAATTCATTAATTTTAATATTTCAATGTATATAAATTTCAAAATTATTTCAGCACATGTATGTACTTTATATGTATGTTTTCCAATGTATATTTGATCTGTATAATGTATTGGCTTCTAGTCTGCTTTTAGCTTAATGAATAAAATAAGTTCAATGCCTTGACAGATTACTCAATAACACTTATTGAAGCTAATTGGATAGTTCAGTAATATTTTTAAAAGTTTTCCAGATTACACAAAGTATTTTATCGATATTTAAATATTAACAACAATGTACAACACTAAAAATTGTTCACCTTAACTGCTGAAGTTTCAAACATAAGTTGCATATAGACAAAACATAAACTTTATAAAATGTAAAATTTTAAGAAAAGTACCTATTTCTCTAGCATAGTTCCTCTTTTCTCAGGTGGAGAATTAAACCCAGGAAAATAAAATAATTTCCCCGAAACACACTTCTAGTCAATGACAGATCAAATATAAAAACATTCTAGGTCTAGTTTTAAAATACGTACATATCAATATAAAAGAGGATATTATTTTCTTACTTATAAGGCTTCTTAGGTAGATAGACAAGGTATTCAAGCAAATATTTAAATTATGTAATGTGACAACCTTTTACAAGTTTTAGTATTTTTTCAGTAACAGATATGTAAGTATCCTAATAAAACAGGGAAAAACAATGTTAGGAAATTCAAGAATATTTCATTTGTATGGGTAGAAGGTAGAACAAAAGAAAAAAATTTTAAATAATATAATATCCACAGGAACTTAAGACAATCCAATGTGCACTTTCCTTTTGTATCACTTCAGGGGAAATTTTTGGTGCAATTTGGTTGTCATGGAAAGAATAGTACAGGACATGCCATATTTGTTCTCTTTTAAAGGAATTATTGGTAAATACTATGCTCAAGAGATTTTCTCTGATGGAAAGTGTATTTTTATAACAAATGTAATCCAGCAGTTAAATGTTTTGCATAAATTTGCAATTTAAAGTGGGAGACTTGGCACAAAAGTCTACATCCCATTACCCCTCAACTGCATACCTGATGCTCTACAGAAATGGAGAAATCCAAAACAGAAGAGAGCGACATGAGCAAATAGAAACAAACGAATGTGAGTTTTAAAGTTCTTCCATAGCTGGACTCCGGCGAATGCTCATGGTGAAGCAGAGAGGAAGATGTTGTCATGAACGCAGTTGGCCTGGCCCAGTCCAGGCCCGGCCAAGGTTAAAACCGGTGCTGTAAGAAGGGGGATTAATTGAAGTTTAATTAAAAACATAGCTGTATATCGTTTTACAGTATATCAGTGAAAAACATCATGCAATCCAGCATCCTATCCCAGGACAAAAAGTGGTAAAAGTAGTCGCTGAGGAAGTAAGCCCACCTGTGAGGAGTTGCTGCTGTTCTTACCAGTGCAGCATTCAGGAAACCATCGCGATGGACAGCAACCCCTACTCACTGTCAATGGCAGAAAATGCCCCTCTCATATCAAGTTACCGGTCAGCAAGCATCGTGGTCGACAGCCATGCATTTCCCATTTGGCAGAAGAAATTCAAAACAGCAGCAGAGTAAAAATGAAAGACTGAGGAAAAAAAACAGACAAAGTTAAATCACGCAAAATCAGAGATAATTCAGGGACATAAAGGAACTTAAAAACGAAATCTATAATTGTTTTTCAGAGCTTTTCTAAAAGTTATTGATTTAAAGAAATGATATAATGATGTTATGATACAGGGCAAAACAGTTCTTAGAGGTTAAAACGATGGTTGCCAAATTTAAAAAAATGTATGCAAATGATTGACTATAATGGTGACCTTCTTACAAATATAACAATGTGATAAAGATATAATAAGCCCCTGAATTAAATATAAAAAACTACACATTACTAGTACAGTTAGGCCAATATTCAAGTATTAAGAGTTCCCAGGTGAGAGAATGGGTAAAACATATGGGATGACGTTAACAGAGAAATGACCGAAGGAAAATTCTTACCGGTGTTAAGAAACATGAACCTTTAAATGAGGTGTCTACCCGGTGCAGATGTAGATAATTTTAGCATTGTTACTTAGATATGCACTAGTAAATTTTCAAAGTAAAAATGGAAGACAAAGATTAAAAAAATTGCAGACTTCCAGCCTGGACAAATGGTACAGACCTGTTTTTTTTAATTCTCCCTGCTAGGCACAACTAAATAATCTCTGGAAAAGGCAAAAAAGACAATCAAAGGAAAGCTGTGAAAAGTGGAACGAGGGTAAGCTGGTTTGGAACCTCCCAACCACCTGTCTTGGAGTCTTGTATCCCCCAACTCAACAGAGGAGGAGCACCCAGACCCCATGAGTCTTGATCCCTGACCAAAACAGAAGACTACACAGGTAGATTCATGCTTCCCCAGGGTGGAGTGGGTGTTCTCCTGACAACAGCAGGCTGCCCTGAGACCACTGGGAAGGGACGAGTGGGGCGCTCCACCAGAAATAAGCAGCCAGAGGAGGCCTCTCCTCTCCTGGACTGCAAACTTTCAGTTTCCACTAAGAGCTATCAAGGAAGGTGACCAGTGTCAACAGGAGGGATCCGCTACAGTAACAGAGCAACTAACTGCTCTACTACTTAGGAAGCTTCTTTGTTCTCCGAGGTCAGAGGCTCGCATCTCCTTCCTGAAGACACCAGGCCACCTGTGGTGGGAGTGGCAGGAGGGTGGTGGGAACAGTAGGGGGTCCTACCACATTTCTTTCTTACTGAGAGACATCTGGTAGCCCAGCCCTGGGTAAGCCCTTCTGGTCTCTTCCAGTAAACACCAGCTGGTGGAAGCCCCAGGGGTACTAGATAAATAAAACTGTTAAAAAAATGATAACTCTGCAAAAGCCAGAAAATCAAACTGTCATTCGAACCACAAGCCACAAAAATAGGCCATGACCTCAACAGTGACAATTTTACTTCTTTTCAGTCTGGTTGCCTTTGATTTTCCTTTTTTCTTACCTGACTTATCTGGCTAGGACTTCCGGTATTATGCTAAATAGAAGTGGCAAGTGGGCAGGCTTGTCTTTCTCCTGATCTTAGAG